AAAGAATAGGTAAACTATGTCCAAACTCATTCTAGACAAGCCTTTTCTATGTGAGAACTACTATATGTATGTTCACACTTGTCTTTTTAGGTCATTTGCGTAAAGATCTACATCCACATTAAAACAACTGAGGAAAAGCTAAATGACATAATCTCTTGGCAGAGGTGAAATAGCCTAAATGGACAGATCCTTCCCCTCCTGCTCTCTGTAATCACCTGCACTGTACCGTGCTTTAACACAGACTAGTTTATATATTTTTAGGAATTTGTTGTCAGACAACTGAATAAGCATAAAAGAGTGATTCTGAGGCGCACCAGTAGCTCATATAAACAGCTACTCCTGCAACACAGGTCACTATGAATTTGTTGTGATTGTTTTTAAAAAAAATCAATCAAAAAGTGTTGAAAAATAAAAAATAAACATGGCAACTCCTAGCATGACATGTCTAGGTGTAGGACTGATGGGTTTTTAGCCTCCAATAGACGATGGGCAGTGAATCTGTGATCATTTACTGAACATTTACACTAAACTGTATGAAAGCTTCAACCAGGAGCCAGTGAAGTGAACAGATTAGAGCCCGACCAATTTTATCAAACGATATTGGCCTATCACAGATATATCTGTATCGGTGCATATATTCCCCTACATGCGCTGATATGAATACTTTTATTAAGAAGCAATTATGCAGTGGAAATGCTCAGGTCAAGTCAAGTTATATAGGCAACATTTTATGTATATGTGATCCTTTGTTTTCATTCAAGTTAAATATATATACTGTATATAAAATAATAAAGTATAAATATAAATCTGTTCTAGGGCTTTAGAACAGATAATTGAACTGGATCCCAGATTCAAAGGGAGTGGCCACTCACTTGAATGAAAATTGCTCCTCTGGCAGACAGACCAAAAAACTTTTGTAGTGTCTGGGTTTGCGTCTGTTTTGATTGTCCCGCATGTTCCTGCTCCATTTGGATAAACAGCAACATTACAATTTTTGATAGTTTTTGAGGAATGAAAATAACCATTAAGCTTGCCTGATTGGCTGGTCATTATGTGCCGTCATCCCAGGGAGAAAAGTCAGTTTGTATTTACACATAATCTTGTAATTTGAACTATGATCACTAAGTCAGTCAGTCAAAATAAAATCTAATTGACAGTGAGTACAGTAAAAGATACACCTCAAATGTATATGAATCTGTAATGTATAACAAAAAATAAAGTGGAATTTAATATAGACCAAATAGAAGCAGCACTGATGTCAAACTGTCCAATAAAACACTTTATTATTCATTCAGCTTTACTGTCACACAAACTGGCCGCAACAAATATTAAATTTCAAATCTGATAACAAATCTTCCAACAGGGATTACAACATTTTAAAAAGCTTCAGAAAACAGAGGGAGCTCTAAAATATCAGATAAGGCTACACTTACTGGTAATTAGATTTTCTTGGGAGGCGGCCCACAAACTGCTAAGATACTGGTCTTACCCTCACCTAGCAGCCAGGTCCTCACATCTACAAAGACGTCTGAGCAAATTTCAAACAGTCATTATTTGGATAAACTGACCCAAATCAAAAACTGAATAAAAGGGTAAGGTTAGTAATATAAAGTCATTTCAGGTGTAGAAATTCTTGTTGCATGTACTTTGGTGTTTGTTGCATGTCTGGATTTGGAGCACATTTCCCTCAATGTTTGTGGATTCTTTCTTGTATGTGCTTTGTCCTTAGGGGCCACTGTACAAAACAGGGGTGGGGGGGGCAACAGAGAGGCTTTCTAATTGAGCTGGCTTTGCGTGGATGTTCTCTTAATCTGCAGCGACACAGAACTCATGGACATTCTGCAGCTCCACAGAAGCAGCTGGGGATTAATTGCCTTGCTCAAGGGCAACTCAACGGCAATAATGAGGGTGGAGAAACCATCTCAATCTCAACATTCTCGCTCCAGAGATCAAACCAAAGACCTTTTGGCTCCCAGTTGCAGTAACAGAAGAATTAGAGCTTTTCAAGACGGAAAAATTAATGTATATAAATTGCAGTTAAAAAAGACTAACGTGATGAATGTGGATTTGTTGTGATTTGTTGGCTATGTTAAACCACACAATTAGAGTGAAAATTACCCATCAGTTATTTAACTCCAGGTCAGGAGCCCAGGGGCCCTTACTGATAGTGCCACAGGTGATTTGTTTGATATTTCATAGACTTTTAATAAAAATTTATTAAAAAGGGGTTTGAGATGTTCCATAATCCCTATATAATCCATCTGAGGCTTCCTCAGTGATCTTAAAAACACAACATGCCACAACATGCTCACACTCACATGTCAAAGCTCATGGTTCAGAAAAAGCTGAGAATACCTGTCAGTCAGTCCCTTAAACAGCCCTGAAGCAATTAGAATGAAAATATCCACAATGTATTATGTTGCACGGTACCATAATCTGACATGTGATGCAACCCTGCCCACTGGGACCAGTTGGATCAACATTGTTACAGGGACATAAACAATGAGGCTGACTCTTGAATGTGCTCTGTTAAAGAGCAGAGCGGGGGCCCAATCAATGCTCTGATGTGTTGATTTAGATGGGAGGAAAGACAGCCAATAGGAGATAAGCGTCAGCGCAGCAGAAAAGTCAATGCCAATCTTTCTTCTCCCATAACACCAACCAAAACTCACTCCTCTTCATCTCTCATCTTTTCTTATACGCTGCATCCAGCTTTTCATTCTCCACACACACACTACACTGCTACAACCCTGAACCCTGGGAAGCTCTATGCTGAGGCAGAGGCACTGTGTGTGTGTGTGTGTGTGTGTGTGTGTGTGTGTGTGTGTGTGTGTGTGTGCGCGCGCGTGCGTCACGACTGTTGTTCACAGAGTCACATACGAGGTTGCTTTAGCAGCACAGCCTCCATCGATAGATAAGAATTATATTTGAAAAGTGAGAGAGGGATGATGATGAAGATGACCGTGATCATGCACAATCATAAGTTTATCAGAAAGTCCAGTCCAAAGTTTTAACGACGCTTTTCTTTTCTTTTATTTTCTGTGACTGAAAAACTGAACGTTTTTTATAGGACTGAATGCTACCCAAAAAAGAAAATCATATTGTGATTATTTTGGCAGATAGTCAGAATGGTGACTTTACATTTAAAAAAATATAAAAATAATGATGATGTGATTTTCCTTGGGTGTTGTACCAAACTAACATGTTCCCTTATAGGCCTGTAACACCACAAGACTTCATTTATGGTCTGTTGTGACACATTTTTCCTTTAATTTAAAAAAGAAAAAAAAATGCAGCTCCTGCGACTGACCATATTGAGATTTCGATAATACTTTGATAAATTATTCAGCCTTAGTTTTTTGGTTTTGGACTGACTGAATAAGTCAACTTGGACTTTTTTTTACCATTTCCACATATTTCCGGCTTGGATGATATCCAAAATTTTATATCTCAATATAGTCCAGGCCAAATATCATGATATACTATAGCATAATATCGCATGTCGTATTTTAGTTTCTTTTGTTTTTTTAAAAAGGTACATAATTATATGATTGTATTTTCTGTTTTTTGTGTAAAACTGCAAATAAATAAATAGATCAAATAAAATGAAATTTTGATATTATTGCGATATTCAATGTTATTGAATATTGGCCCAAGCCTAATTTCATCAACCAATCATTTCTCAAGTAATCATAAAAACAGGGCAGATTAATAAACAATAACAATAGGCGTAAACTGCAGCCTTACACCGTGTATGTAATTAAATATTTTTAAATTTTTGGACTGTTGGTCAGATGCTCCTGTTGGTCGAGGCATTTTTCACAAATGGCTGGGATCTAACAGAGTGAACAATTAATAATTTAATTGGAAAAAATATTAACATATTATTCAACATTGAAAATAATTATTATCGAAAGATATATTTAGAATCTTTGTATATGTTTCACAATAAAGTCACAAGTTGTAGAACATTGCATGTCAAAAACTAAATGAAAAATAGGGGTTCAACCTCTTTACTGAGAAACAGCTGATCTTACATATTATTGATGGATGATGGTTTTTATTTTCATACCAATGAATACAAAACCAACGACAATCTAAACATGAGACTGGAACGTGTTGAAGATCGAAACTTACAGTGATAGAGTGACTTCAGCTCATATCATAGATGCATCAGTATCAGTTTATATGTCGACTGATGAGCAACAAGAAATCATTCAGATACAGAGTCACATTACAGAGTTTGTCCACCAAAGAGCACACACTGTGAGACGTCCAGCTCAGTCCACATCCTGGTCCCAAGTCCTCAATAACTGAATTTAAAGGATCTGGATCTTTATCAAAAATATTTGTTTATACTAAATGTGGTTTAAAAAATAAAAATAATTTAGAGCTTAACTATTAACCCATTAAGAATTATACATAATTATCATTCAGTTGATGTAAAGCAAATAAATCAATTTTGATAATATTTTGTATGTCTTAGTTTTACTTGATAGAAGACTGTTTGGCTGATTAGTTGAATCCACAAAATCGAATTTCTGACATAGAGCATGCAAACAAAAAAATTATTTTCCTACGTATCATTTTTAATTTAAGGTCAAGTACATGCCATAGATGATGATGATGATGATGATGATGATGATGATTACTACTAGGCCTATAATGATAATGTTTATGGTAAACTGTGACCACATATAAACCACAAATTCTACCGCACATTTACAGGAACATAAATGGAAAATGTTCAATGTTTCCTCAGAACTGTTAAGAACTTGACAGTTTTTAACCATATGAATTTGTCAGGCACCAAAACAGAGGTAACTACACTCTGCTATAGGCCAAGTTGATATGTGTTTTCTCTGGCTGTTATCCTCAAACTATATCCAGACATCACCTCAGTAGGAAGCAGCGGTCTGCTTTGCTGCTGCATTTGGAGACACTCTGCACAAAGAGGCTGGTAACGGGTTAGAAAAAGGAAAAGACGTCCCGTTACTCACCGATACTCCTGAAACTCTCCGACAAAGTTCTCCTCAACTTTTTCATTTTGCCGATTTTCTCCGTGGGCTGAGAGGCTGGCATCAAATCGCACATTTCGTTTTTTCTTTCTTTCTCTCACCGACTTTCAAAGCGGATTGGATGTGTTCAGAAGTCGGTACCAGCGGGGCTTCTTCAGCCCAGCTGCAGCGCGCTGGCAAACACAGGAAACGGAGCCTCGGCGCCGATTCACTTATCTAGTCAGCTATTAAGAACAAATGCCTCCTTGAGATTTTCTCAAAAATGCAACTCGCTACATTTCCACAAAGGCAACAAAAGTCCGCGCTGAAGCTGAAGCACCCAAACTGGAAACCGTGCCTAATTTACTGCGTCTTTTTCCTGCGTCTTTGTCAAGATCCTACAAAACGAGATCCAGCTCTGACTCCTTTCTTCCCTAAGAGCCCCAGTCGTTCCCTGCTCCACCGCAGTATAGATGTCATTTTTGGGATTCTCTCTCTGGTTTCGACCCCGCAGACCCCGCCCTGGATCCGGAGATTGGAGGACATCCTGGGGAGAGCCGTGGTCCTATTTGTGGCGGAGGCTGGCCGTCAGCGAGGCAGCCCCGCCCTCTGATTTGTTGCAGGAGGAGGAATATTTCCATGGGGAGCCAGGTTTGTTGACAGCAGCTCCTGTTTGAATCTGCTGCCCTCTGCAAAACCCGGTCACCGGCACACAGGGGCGAGGTGTTCCCCCAGCACCAGCTCCATCTGGGTAAAGACTCATTTCAGCTTTGAAGACCACAGCTCAGCTTTATGTGAAGGGAAGAAATATATCAAACCAGAGCTGTTGTCTGTTAATAATGGAGATAAATTGGTGAGAAAAATGCACAAAAATATCTTTGGAGTTTTTGATGTGCACTAACACATCATACTGATCATCCTGCTCTTTGTCTTTCTCATGCATGTCATTAAAGTGTTTAGGTTTTAAATCATAAAAATAATTTATATAAAATCATCATGATGACCAGCACCATTTTTGATTTCATCAGGATTTTCCACTTTCCTGAAAACAACTATTTTCTTTTTCTCTGCTCCCCAGTGCTGACAGTTCTTTGATGACAATATTCAGTCACAATAATAACACATTTTCTTGTCAATTAATTTACAATAGTATATAGTTGGGATTAAAGAGATCCAAGCCCTGCATCCGTAATCCCCATGCTGCAGCACTGAGCTCCTGAGCTCTGCTCCGTCTCAGTCATGTGTCTGTATTTTTTCTGCTGGTTGGCATCTCCAATTTGATCATGTCAGTGCTGCAGTTACCACAGCAGCCACACAAGTATTGCAGAGGCATCACAAGAACATTGGTGTAGCAGTGTGTATACTGTACTGTAAACATGTACATGTCTCATTGTTTGGATCTGGTCCTCAGTTAAAGACCAGAGTAAGCTTCCTACTTACTCTGACCAAACCCCCCCAGGGATAACTGAGACAAATGTACAGCTTCATTAGTTTGAATTTGTCCTTCATTATGATGCATTTGCTAGTGATGCATGCACACATTTTAAACAAATACCTCCACTTCACAAGAGAAAATAGGCTATGTCTGTGGTGTGGGACATAATATTATCTAAAAGCCAGACCTATGGTGCTAATGTTAAAATACTGAGGTTGAAGTGACTGTGCACAGTGGTGGCAGCAGATGGCAGTGAGGTGACTGGATGTGAAAGGTTTCTAAACACAGGAATGTGTGAAGAGAGTGAGCAGAACAAGCTCCTCTGGCACAATAACCTCCCTCTGGAGGCTGTTGGCAGGAGAGAATACAGTAAAAGGGCGTACAAAACCACTAGAGCAGTACACCACTGAGGAACTTTATGCTCCATTTCGGAATTCTGATATTAAGTACATTGCAGACCTTGTCAGGCCAAAACTTCAATAGAGCCAGAAGGAGTCACAGTCTATGTGTGGAAGAACAGGTCGTCATTGCTCTGCGCTTCTATGCATCTGGGTCTTTCCACCAAGTTGTTGGTGACAATATAGGAGTGGACAAATCAACTGTGAGTGATGTGGTCAAAGCTGTGTCAATCACTTTGGCCAGCCTGGCCAGTCAGTTTGTTTCATTTCAAAGGGATGACCAGATTGCCTAGACCAAGTGCAAGTTCTTACTTTTGGGGAACATGCCCAATACTATTGGGGTTATCGACTGCACTCGTGTATATACAAGCACCCCATGAGAGAGAGTGGGAGTATGTCAACAGAAAGGGGAGGCACAGCATGAACATTGAAGGAGCTTTTGCTGTTTGCAGAAAAAAACTCTCACCCCCCATGGGGTGAGTGCAGTGTTCAAAATACTCAAAAGACCAGTGAATGTCCACACCAAAGAATTTAGTTAAATTTGTTTAGTAAATCTTTTCAGCAAGCAATGAACAATTACAGAATTCTGGATCAGATGTGGCTTTCCCTAACCAATAACAAGTGTTGGCCAGTCCACAGTCTGACAACCTAACTTTCCCTGATCCAGTGTATTTATACAGGTACAAACAAAGAAATGTGCAAGGGCGTTTTGTCGTCTTCTGATTGGCTCTGCTGGCTTCCTCCTTCCCGTCTGACTCCGACCCTAAGTGAAACCTAAAACTCAGCGCGCTAAAAAGAAGACAGTTAGTGTTTACACATAAATTACCACTTCTCTACCTCTGTTACCTCCGGCTGCCCCCTTCACATGCCCATAGAGTGGTCCTTATCAGTGGTTGTAAATAGTTTCCCTGAGGCAGATGTTTAAACCACAACTCACCCTTAGCACCTAAATATCCACTGGCATAAATCATTAAACAGTTTTAGGTTTAATAGCCTGAAATACTCCAACAACATACAACTTGTAGGTGACGCTGACCTCATAATCACAAACTGTGAGGTGGCCTGGCTCTATACAAACAGCTCCAAAACAACCAACCAGATGGAATAATATTAAGAGATAGCGCCTATCCACTCATACCATGGCTGATGACCCCTTTTCTTGCACCAAACACACCGGAGTACACATGCTTAAACACTGCTAATTGCAAAACAAGATGTGCTATTGAGCGTTTAAATGGAGTTGTGAAGAGGTGCTTTGCATGCCTTAACTACTTGCGAGTGGAACCACAAGGAACGTGCAACATAATACTTGCCTTTATTGTCCTGACAATATCAGTCCCAAGTGTAATGTCCCTCTCTGTGATGATGATATATGATGCACCTGAGCCTGTTGAAAACTCAGACACACCTGCGGCTGTCTCTCAGAATGAGAGAGTGACTGGACATGCAATTAGGAAGGCCATTGTTAGAAACTAGTTTTGGTTGTGTCATTGTGTTACAACCAGCTCGTTAGGGGAAAGGGAAGTAACATAAAACCCATGATGTAAAGGGTTAAATAAGGTTATTTATTAACCAAAGTAAACAGGGTAAACAAAAAGGGAGGCGGCACAGGAAAAACAAAGCCACCCAATAACGAAATTAACACAAAAGGACACAAGCAAATAACAAAAGAAAAGCAAACCAACAAAACACCAGATCGCAAACAGAGCTGCACCTAGCTTTATGCTCAAAAACCAAAAACACACAACTCTTCACGTTGTTTCACTCGGCTTTATCAATTATCACAATCATACAAGCACTGGTACACAACGCGGAGGCAAGCCTGCATACGGGCAACACAGATCGCCACGAACAACCGAATGACAGTCCTTTTATACTCCGGGTGGAGACGAGAGGCAGGCCCAGCTGATCAAGGGAGATGGCTAGCAGCTGGAGCATCGAAGGCGCGGCGGAAAGGTGGAACACTCCCAGGAAATCCCCGTGACGTCACGGGCATCCCCTCTTGCAGAGTCAAACTGCAACCATAGGCCGAGACTGGACACAACAACCACGCACACACACACAGAGAAAGACAAAGATCCCCCGAATACGGCCACGGCCGTAACACCCCTCCCCTTAAGATACAACCTCAGTTTGTCATCCAATATACACAAAAATCAACCCTCATAGTCTGGACAGCGCATCAGCAATAATATTCTCTGACCCCTTCTTATGGCGAATCTCTAAATGGTGATCTTGTATGATCAGAGCCCACCGCATGAGTCTTTGGTTGTGGTTATACATGCGTTTGAGGAAAACGAGTGGGTTGTGATCGGTGAAGACCACAACTGGCAGAGAACTGGAACCCACATAAACTTCAAAGTGTTGGAGTGCCCATAACAAAGCAAGTGTCTCTTTCTCTATGGTGGAATACTTTACCTGGTGTTTGTTAAATTTGCGAGAGAAATAACACACAGGGTGATCGACTCCATCACTATCTTCCTACAACAGAACAGCCCCGGCTCCCACCGCAGAGGCATCCACCTCTAGTTTAAAAGCTTGGGAGAAGTCAGGCGCAGCGAGGACGGGGGCGTGGCTAAGCAGCGATTTCGCGCTGTCAAAAGCATGCTGACAGGTAGGGGACCAGACAAAGTCGGTTTTGGGGCTCATTAGCGCCGTTAACAGCTGAACAACAGAGGAAAAGTTACGACAAACACTACGATAATATCCGGCCATGCCAAGAAAACTACAGAGGGCTTTACGTGTTTTCGGAACTGGGAAATCATTGATGGCGGATACTTTCACAGCAAAGGGTCTCACCTGACCCTGGCCCACCTGTCTCCCGAGATAGGTGACAGTGGCTTTACCGAAGTCGCACTTCGCAAGGTTTAACGTCAAGGACGCGCGCGCAAGGCAAGTGAACACCTGTTCCAGGACGAAGACATGCTCCTCCCACGTCATAGTGTACACAATTAGATCGTCCAAATAGGCATTACAATTCGGCAGTCTGGACAGGACAGTATTAACGAGCCTTTGAAAGGTCGCCGGAGCATTACACATGCCGAAAGCCATCACTGTATACTGTAAAAAACTGTCAGGGGTCACGAAAGCAGAGATTTCAGACGCGCGCTCAGTTAATGGGACTTGCCAGTAACCTTTAAGCAAATCTAATTTGCTGACAAATTTCGCGGAACCAAGTGTGTCGACACAGTCTTCCATTCTGGGGAGAGGATAAGAGTCCTGAACAGTTACAGCATTAACCTTACGGAAGTCTGTAATAAAACGAGGGGAACCGTCAGATTTGGCCTCCAAAAGACATGGAGAACTCCCAAGAGCTGGAGCTTGGCATAGCTAAACCGTTTTCTAAGAGATAGTTCGTCTCCTGTCTCATTAACTCGCGCTTCACGGGGTTAATCCAGTAAGGGTGCTGGCGGATGGGCTTTGCCTCTTTGACATCGATGTCATGTTGCAAAACAGTGGTGCGCGTGGGAACATCGTTAAAGAGACATGGAAAACTATGAATTAATGAAGCTATGTCATTCTGTTGCGCGCCAGTCAAGTGGCTTAATTGGGAAGGTAACATTTTGAGCATCTTCGAGTTTGGCAGGCGAGCAGTTTGATGGGGCAAATGACGCGT